TATATATATATATATATATACGTTTGCGCATGTATGTGATTTTCATTACTCAGTTTAAATGAGTAAATTATATATTGATATATTAAATTAACTTCTAGACAAAAAAAATATATAGTAATTTTGTAGTGTAAGAAATAGATTATAGAGAATTCTTCTCTGGCAAACCTTTTAATGAATATACCTGAGGTATCACAATAGTAAAGCTAAGCACAAACAATGACACAAAGCGAATACATCTATCGCGAAATTTATGATACGGCCATAATCCCGAAATAGTCAGATATAATCTAAGAACAAAGTAATAGCGGCTTTGACAAACGTCTTCCTTGTCGTTCATTCTTCGGAATATTAAGATTCTGAACTCTTAGTGATTCAATGCAAGCGTTTGACATCCGAGAAATTGCGGAAACTTACTTATCAATTCTATCTATCTTCTGTTCCGTAACAGTACCGTAATTACGCTAAGGTATAAGCACCTCCATTTACTGTCTGCGTTTTAGCAGTGTCCTTTCTACATTATAAAGCTAATACCTTATTGTTTCTCTTTGAAAGGACATTTTCCTTTACTTTCATATTCTGTTTCTATTATTGTGAATTAGTTTCAAATGTAACTCTTAACACATTATGTGAATTTATCTCGTGCGGGAAAAGACAAAACTTTGTACTGCATTCGAACAATGGAATGATTGCAAAAAGTAAATAGCAGACATAATGAATTACGTAAGAATATAAGATATTGATGTTTCGATTTAATTTAGGAAAATTTTTACAGACTCCGACGTTCATGAGTAAATTTCTGATTTGAGTTTGATTTGAGTGAAGTGGAGATAATACGGAGATGAAATGTAATTCCTAGAATTCACAGATCTTGATTATGGATCATCTCATCATTCGTCCGTTTTTTGGATAAATACTTTCCGGAATAAGTTAGTTATATTCGTACGATAATAAACATTTCATTAACAATTAATTTATATGTATATACATATAATTATGTGTTAATTACAGATATAGTAATTCTTTTACTTTCTTACTTTTTCATTGAAAATTTTAATGAATTTTATGTTATGTTAATGTAAACTTCTAGATATTACATAAAGTCGCATGATATTAAAGTAAAAATTGATGCTACTTCTTATGTTAAAATGTATTATGCATTCAATTAATACATACAACATTTTTATTTTGTGCTTTCAAGCAAGTTTTTCAACAGTAAGCAAAAGCACAATTAATAAAACAAAGATTTTTTTATTCCACCATGATGACACAAATTCTGTTTCAAGATTATGTAATGTTTGCATTCGTTTATTCGTTTGGATCCATTTATTCGTTATTGAGACGCATGACATTGTTTACAAAAAAATGTTTAAATAGTTTTTACATGTCAACGTGTACAAAGTTGTCGTACAATACATATTTTGAGTGTTCAGTCTCAAATCTCTTTCTTTTTTAATTTTATATCAAAATACGTACATGCAAAATTATAATTGCCAATGTTCAAAAACTAATTAACCTTTTTCGCTTGTACTATAATCGAACATGCATATACGTATTTTTATACATTGTTACAAACACACGTGTATTTTCGCGTATTGTTACGGAAATTGCAGTAAAATGTTTTCTTATGCATCTTTATTTCGGATAATTATACAACATATAAGTTGTTGAATTGTACATTCTTTTTCTAGATATATAAAATTCGCTTACAACTTGCATCTCAAAATATGTACAAATACTATATATAGCTTAAATGTGCAACATAAGTGCACACATTGCACAGAAGTATGTGCAATAACTAATACGTTGATACTACCGAAAACATTGATACTACTGAAACCAAAGAAAAAAATCGAGTTATATACTAATAATTAGATTTTTGTTGCATTAATCAGGGAATCCAGTTATTTGGGATATTTTTACATTACAGCAGCGAAAAAATGTTGTAAAATATTGTTTTACATGAATATTGTTTAGCATATATTTTCCTCTTTTAATATCTATTCTTTACGGACCTTTAAATATGCAATTTCATCGAAAACCTGACTTTTGTGAACCTAGCGCTCGACTTTTTATAAGTTAAATTTTTTTTATAAAAAAATGATAGTATTTTGTTTGCAGTTGTGTTTGCCAATTTTTGAGATATCTCTAATCCATTTGCGACATCTTCCTTAAAATCGTTTGTAGTTGTTTGTAGCGATTTGCTGGTCGTTTGTAGTTGCACCATTTAAAAATTACACCAAAGTTACGTAATATTATAAATTTGCTGTAACTTTTAAACGGTGCAACTACAAACGATCGGAAAATCACTACAAACAACTATAAACGAATCTGAATCAAGATATATTAACAATTTTTTTTTTACTTTAAACTCAGATGACAGTCATTTAAAAAAAATTTTATATTTTTTATTATGAAACTACAAACGGAACCATTATTACTACAAACAACTACAAACGAAATACTATTTATAAAAAATTTAATTTATAGAAAATCGAATACCAGATTCACGAAGGTGAAAACATGCGATAAAAATGCATTATAATATAATTAAAATATTTATCTTTTAGATATATTGCCATAACAAACATGCTTATTCCATTTAATATTTGTTTTGTTTTTATTTATTTTTTTTCAAAAAATATGATTAAATCTAGATCCATAATATTTTTAAATGACAATATAAATCGTAAAACAATGTATAATATATTGTTGATAATACTGATAGAGATATAAAAACATCCCAGATGATTGTTTACATAAAAAAAAGTGACTCGGGTTAAAGAAATGCATATTAATTTAATTTTTTCAATAAATATTTAAATGCGCCAAATCATCATTGCATAGAACGAAACACGGTGAGATAAGACAGAGAAGTCTTCACAACCTTTAAGAAATAAAAGTTTTTTTCAGTAAACTGCGATTATAACAATAAAAATTAAAATACAGTAGTTATATGTTTACCATGGCAAAATTATCGATGGACAGAATCATTAGTTTACCAGCTGTTATTTTGCAAGGTATTACTGTTCTATACATCATTAAGAGCAGAAGTTTTCGACATCTTTGCGAAGTATAATACCAATTCGCCCTGCAGCTATTATATGAAATGAGAAAAATTAAAATTAAAATGATTAACGATAAATCTAGTAAGTATTTATAATTTATATTAGGTTTCTATCTTGTTGTATCCAAACACAGAAAGCTACAAAATCTGTTTTTTTATTTGTCTTGTGTATGTTACATATAAAGGATTAGTTGTAGTAATATTAGAATTAAAGTAGAATTATTAATGTGCAAGTATTTATAGCAATTGTAAATAATTTGTCCAAAATATAAAATAAATCATACACTTTTATTTAAGTTTTTCTCTAGAGCTTAGAAAAAAAAAGAAAAATGAAGTAATTAGACTATTGAATTGAATAAATCTGCGTTCTTACATAGATTCATATGGAAGGATGCTGTAATCGAATAGAAATTGACCTTGCCAGAAGTGAAGAAACAAATGAATAAGTTGTCCAAAATACATACTAATAGGTGCGATGATGTCATTCACGTCCTTATCAAGATTTATCAACATCTAAAATGCATATTTATTACAATTACTGTTCACATTTTTTTCGGCTAACACACTATAACTGTTCGAAATATTGAAAAATGGTATTATTTTTCTCAAATTTGTTTTTGTCTTCACGAAAATTCTCCATTCCATTCCATTCTATACCAAAAGTATTTATTTATAACGTAAAAAGGAAAAAACTGATACGTACTTGTATACCATATAAACTGCCAATAATCATGTTAAAGTTAAGATTTATCAGAAATATCTTCGTATACACAGATTCAATATGTTCCGCAAATCTGCGAAATGAGAACACTAAATAATTATAATTAATATGAAGTATCGCACAATGGCAAAAATAGGGGTCGTTACTTGATATTTCTTCATACGTACTCTATTACACCGAGATGTCTACGTAAACAGTGTAAAGTTTTATAATAATTGTCGTCTTTAATTTTATCTGATTTTGCGTCAAATTCGTCCGTGTCATTTTTTCCAATGTTTTCCAGTACATTTCTGTAAAGTCAAGAAAAATATCGATGCTTTTGAAAAACTCAGATTTTATAAGTTGTAAGAAATAAACAAATTTATGAAGAGCACTGTTATCTTTTTATAATCAAGAGAGATCGTTTTTACCCAATAATGGAGAACATTCCACAAGCATGTTGAATGAGAGTATAATACAAAGCATCAGCCACGACTGTGGCAAACGAATGAGCAATTACGGCAACATAACTATGCACTGCTATTGGATATATATACTGATTAAATTTCTTGCCGTATTCTACGCGGAAGGGTAATCTCGACTCGAATGGAATGGAAGATTTTGTTATATTAATGATATCATCCGCTATCAGAGTCAGCATGATTGGTTTCACCACGAAAAGGCTCGCCGTCGTATGCATTAAAACTAGGAAAAACGTCGCAAGTTCTTAAAATCATTATACCTTTATTGTTTAAAATACAAAAATCGATTTTTCACGATAAGCATGTTCTTTATACAATTTTTTATAAAGTTTAATGACAATTGTTGTAAGATTGCAAGGAATATGATCTCTAGATTAGAATACACACTTATATGTGTGCGTTTAAGATATAATATTTATCTTAGTTTTTACAATCTTAAATTATACACACCTGCATAAAATGTCGCCAAATGCTGTCCATACTTACTATGCCGTTCCAGAATAACTTTTTCTACTGAATTTAATGATTGCCAGTCCTTTTGTATTATATTAAGACAAGCCTTTACCTAAACACATGCTCGCGTATTTTTTGCTAATGTAATATTTTTTCATATAAAAGTTAAATGTTTATGCAAGTTTGAAAATTTATCACTTACTTTCTCGCTATTTAACATTATAAACAATAGTTTAGAGCTGAATGTTATACTGATGAATATTGGTGGCACACATTCAAACACGTCATCGAGAGTGATCGAGCCGATTAGTAAATAAAGTATCTGTATTAGAGTTAAATGCAATCACGAAATTCATAAATTAATCATTTTTTTTAATATTTAAAAGCCTATGTACATTGCATATGTACGTACATATATTTATTTTTTTATAATTTTCCAAAAACGTTAAAATTTTCATTCTTCTGATAAATTAATTGTACATGAAAAATTTATTAACAGTCTATTTTTCCATCTTTCTTTTTCGGATCTTATTAAAGTTATATCTTTTAAAAATTTAATATAAAAACTTAATTTGGCATACGTATGCGTATGTGTGTGTAATTTTGATAACTGTATATCAATATGTTAAACTTCTAGTCACGTAAAAAAAGGAAACATGCAATCAGTAAGTCTACAGCGCACTAAACAGATGATAGATATTCTTCTTTGGCAAACTTTTCGATAGATATACCTGAGGTATCAGAATAGTAAAGCTAAACACAAATAACGGCACGAAGCGAATACATCTATCGCGAAGTCTGTGATATGGCCATAATCCTGAAATAGTCAAATAGAATCTAACAACGCTGTAGTATCGGCTTTGTGCACTGTGGTCTTTCTTCTCAATCATTTTTCAGAATAAGAAGATTGCGAAATATCAACTATTCCATTTGTACTTTATTCCATTCAACGTTCAATTTTCAACAAATTACGTAAGATTACTTATTGATTTTTTCCATCTTCTATTCAGCAACAGCATCGTAATTGCGCTGAGGAATATACGGACAATTACCTGCTGTGTTTCAATCCTTTTCCTTTTACATTTTTAAAGCCGTTACTTATCGTTTCTCTCTTTGAAGAGACATTTTATTTTAATTTCATATTCTGTATATTATGGTTTTCTTAGAAATCTCATCTTAGAAAAAATTCAACTTTGTACTGCTTTAGAGAAAGCCGTATATACCTGCGTTAGAGAAAGTAAACAACAGAAGTGATAAACGACACACGTGAAAATATGATATATTATTAGTTTAATATAATTTAATAGAGCCTAATTTTTTTTTCTACAAACTACGACATTTATTTACCTTTAATTTAAATAAAGTTGACGAATGTAACGTTAATAAAATGTGGATTGTATTGTAGAATTCATATATAATTTTCGAATTGTCTCTCTGTTCATCTTCACTGTTAATTAGGAAGATAAATTTTCCAGAATATCTGATCGGTTGATTATATGTAGTTTACGTCGATAAACAATTAACTTACATACTTACGTAAAGTTACAAAAATTGTTAAAGAAGAGTGGACTTCCTTGACAAATATCTATAAGTAAACTTCTAGATATTGCGGAAAAAAAATGATAAGTATGTTTGTATGGAAGCAAAAGATGATACTTAATTATTGTAATGAAATACATGTATACGATTACATTAATATGTATATATCTATATTTTGATTGCTATAAAATCGAAGAAAAATATCAGAAATTATAAAGAAAAAAAGAAAAGTACATATAATACATAAAATTTTTATTACATTAAAGAGATGTATTTTAATTTAGACAATTTTGATGATTCATGCACCAAATCATCACTGGAGAGAACGAAACATAGTAAGATAAGATAGAGACGTTTTTACAACCTTTAAGAAATAAAAAATCCTTCGATAAGCTACAATTACAACAGTATAATTTGTAGACATAACAATACAATTTTACACTTACCGTAGCGAAGCTTTCAATAGATAAAATCACTATTTTACCGGCTGTGATTTTACATGGTGACGTTGTTCTGTTCATAATTAAGAGAAGAAGTTTCTGACATCTGCGCGAAGCATCATACCAATTTGCTCTGCAGCTATTATTAAAAATAAGATAAATATTAATTAAAGTGATAAATAATAAACTTTTATATTGTATATTAATAGTAAAACTTAATGTTTGTATAATATTAGGTCTTTATTTTTATATTCAACATTGAAAGCTGCAATCTATCTTTTGATTTGTATAAAGTAAACTTGGTTAAGATGGCCATACGGAAAAGATGATCATAAACTTTTAGAATAAGTACAAAAATATTCTATTCAGCAATTATTAGCTAAATTACAGCCCATGGCCATTTTTTCTGTATCGCCAAGTAATACCCAAGTAATTGTATATTACATATGAAGGAATTGCAATCAGAATTAAAATAACTGTAAGTGTGCGATTATTTATAATAATAATTGTAAATAATACGCTAAAAATCATATGTTTTGGTACAACTATTTCTCGATGATTTAGAAAAAGGGTAAAAGTATCGATTAGGGAACCAAGCTCCAAAGACCTTGACCTTGACATATATTGTCAAGGTCATGACCCTGAGTGATCTCCAACAAGTTTTAGCCGTCGCTCGTCCTTCGTTAAAAAGTTATAAACAAAAGATATTTAAGAAATAATGTCTCATTTCTGCTATACAAAATCAATTTTGACTTCTACCCCATCTTCCTCTCTGCTTAGGGGGGCGCACGACTTTTACTTGAAACGA